AGTGTTGAATAAAGTAGACGTTTTACTAATTAATTAAGAATAATTTTGCAATACTATTGATGTATTGGACCCCAATGAGTATGAATGTTTCTTATGAGAACTCAAAACTAGAATGAAAAAAAAATGACTCTCGAACATTATAAATAGATAAAATAACTCATGCATCTATAATATACATTAGATCCTTATTTATTTTTTATTATTATTATTAGGGACTTATTTTCTTATATATTTTTGTTTGAGTTTGTAACATGTTATTTAAATCCTTTTATGTTACGACATCATTATGTTGTTTTTAACAAAAAATTTATATTAAGAGTTTATTTGTTCTATATTTCAGTTTGTGCTTGCAATCATATATTTAATAAATTAATTAATTTATCTTATTGGCCAAAAATATTTGTCACCACGTGCATTGCACGTGCACTTTACTAGTATGATAAATGGTAATTACTTTAAGAGAAATAAAAAAATATATATATATATATATACAGGGAGCTGTTGGGCATTTTCGACTGTGGCGGCAGTTGAGGGCATCAACCAGATTGTGACGGGGAATCTAACCGAATTGTCCGAGCAAGAGCTTATCGACTGCGACACGACTTACAACAACGGGTGCAATGGAGGCCTAATGGATTACGCGTTTGCTTACATTGTCGAGAAAGGTGGTCTCCACATGGAGGAGGACTACCCGTATGCTATGGAAGAAGGAACTTGTGGAGTAGACAGGGTAAATATTATTTTTATTATAAAAAGAAAGAAAAAGAACCCTTCAAAATATCCGAAACTCGATGGCATTAATAACCTCCCGATGAAAAATCGTTTTCAGGGTGAGCCGGACGTGGTCACCATCGACGGCTACAATGACGTGCCAGCAAACGACGAGCAGAGCTTGCTGAAAGCATTGGCTAACCAGCCTTTAAGTGTGGCCATTGATGCTTCTGGTGAAGATTTTCAGTTCTACAAAGGGGTAAGAAATATTATTTCTTGTGACAATATATTAACTTCAATTGTAATAAAAATATCTACTTTTTTGCTCTATAGTTTTGTAAAGTTGTCAACATATCATGAAATTTTGAATGCAGGGTGTGTTTGATGGGAGCTGCGGAACTGAACTCGATCATGGAGTTGCAGCCGTTGGATACGGAACGATCGAGGGTTCGGATTACATCGTCGTGAAGAACTCGTGGGGCCCGACATGGGGAGAGAAAGGGTACATAAGGATGAAGAGAGATACAGGGAAGAGTGAAGGGAAGTGTGGCATCAACAAGATGGCCTCTTATCCCACAAAAAACAAGTGAAGAAAAAGTGAATGAATTTGTTATGTTGGGCTTACTTCATTATGTTAGGTTTACTTGCTATGAACATGATCAATTGTCACCTTTGTTGTAGTGTATTCATACTTTCTTTAATTCATGTGTAATATTTGTAGCAAAATTGGCATTATCTTCATTATTCAGTAAAGGAAAAATTTAAAAGTAATTATTGGCTTCTAATAGGGAAAAAGGGGAGCCTTTTTATTTATATGATTTTGCACCAAAGTAAAATACAAGTTCATAGGTTGAACTCGAGTCAAGCTCGAGTTTGACCGAGTTTGACCGAACTCGGTTGAGGTCGAGCCTATATTTTGCATTGTCCAGCGGCTCGTCGAGAGCCTCGATATATATATATATATATATATATTAAATTACTGAAATACCCCTTATATATATTTAAATAGTATAACACAAGTGTTTAATAATGGTAATTTCACAAAAAAATTCAAGCCGAACTCGAGACGAGCTCGAGCATTTGATTTCGAGTCGAGTCGAGCTCGAGCTATTGTATTTTCTTATCGAGTCGAGCTCGAGCGTTTGATTTCGAGTCGAGTCGAGCTCGGGCCTCATAAATCGAGCCCGAACAGTTAAATAAAAAAATTATAATTCTGCTCGATATGGCTAATGCTCGACTCGGCTCGTTTGCGGCCCTATTCATAGGCATAGCAGTTAGCACCACCAAAATGCAGTGAAATGTAAATGGTTTCTTATGGGATCTCCATTGTAGAGCTCAAAGCAACTATCATTAGCTCTTAACAAATTTTATGACCAAAACATTCTCATGGGGTGAAATTTTCCTATTCCAAAATCATAATCCAATTCATAATCCATTCTATTGGATGAATGACACGTGTCGATAATGACATCACAACGCGAACATGATTTTGGAACAGGAAATCCTCTCCCAATTCCCATGACCTACCTTTAAAGCAAAAGCAAGCTATCAACATCTCATACAAAAAAAAA